AGACTTGAGCCTTATTTTCTAAACATATGCACAATATCGGATATGTTTTGCAGAGATACTGGCATCAAAATCGTCCGGTATTTCAACTGCAGTCACGAAACTCTTGGGTATTCAATACCCGATTATCGCTGCTGGTATGGGAGGAACAACAAGTTGCGCTTTAGTAAAGTCTGTTGGCAATGCAGGAGGGTTTGGTAAGATTAAGTCATTTAACTGTGTATATAGTGTGTAATACAGTAATAAAAGAACAGGATCGTTTAGGATTTATTGGAATGGGAAGTGCGGCAGTCCCGAGTTTTGTAACAAGGGAAACAGACGATTGCAAGAATGCAAAAGGTCCTGATGGAAAAAAGCTACGATATGGTATTGGCTTTATCACTTTCCTGACTGCACAAAATCCATTAGGATTTAATATTTCACTTAATGCCCGTCCATTAGCAATGTCGTTTTCATTTGGGAATGCATCGGCAATGGCGAAAAGAGCACGAGCAGCTGGTATAAAAGTATTTTCACAAGTGCAAAGGGTGGAAGGTAAAACTAAGGCTTATCTAGGTAACCAGGCTTAGCCCATTTCATTAATCTGTGTTTCAAATTACAGATGCTGTGGCAGCTCTAGAATACAGTGACGCTATAATCTGTCAAGGACAAGAAGCTGGTGGTCATGGTGAAATTGGTCTATCCACATCTACTATATTTAAACAGGTGCAGAAGAAACTGAAACAACTCAAGAGCAATATTCCACTCCTTGCAGCTGGTGGGTTCGGTGATGAACATGGAGTGGTCAAAGCATTAAAATGGGTATGTTAGAAGAATTTCAGCTTATTTAACACTCTTATACATTTATTTTAAAACCTTAGCGGTTCGACTCAGCTGTAACGGTCAACAATACTCAATGACACTTCTCTTGCAAATTTCAGCTATTTACATACTTAAAGAAGCGACATCTGTGACACTTCTGTATCTTCGTTTTACAAATATATACTGCATATGTCATAAACATGCCGTTTCTGCAATGTATGTCTACTTACTCAAACAAAAGCGATAATTTGAACTGATGTTTACAGGTGACAACAGTTCCATGAAAACCTCTGCTTCCAACTTTCGCTCCAAAATCAACCTTTTAAGAGAGCGGCGAATTAGTTTCGAATTCGAAACATTCACTTTGATATTTCTACAAGATTTTGAACAGGTATTGAAATAGTCTGAATTCCACTTTGTATTAAAGCCTTGCAAAATTCATCGTTTGTCAATAGTGTCAAGTGCACTAACAAGAAGATATTAATAAGGCTTAGTAAGTGCAGGAAACGAATAATTATCGTTTCCGCTGGATCATGTACACAGCGAAGAGCAATTGCAATGCTCATCGTGAGCATTATAACGAGATATCTATATGATGCACCCAACTACTATCCATTTCAAAACAGAATGGACTCGGATTTGTTTCGAATAACTAGAGAATGAAATGAACTACAGAGTTGTGTTTTTCAGATGATGAAAGAGTGCCATAATCTTATGATAAAATTAGTCTTATCCAGCAGATCGGGCAAATTTCGCAGTATGAAAACAAATTTTAACCTTCCTAAACTTTACAACAGGCAAAACTGAGCGGAAACTTCGAAGCAATTTGATTGAGAACGCTATGAGATTTTCATTTTAGTATAGTCAAAGTGGAAAATTCTTAGTTTTTGAACAGTTTGCCTTTTGCAGTTTCCTTAATCTGGTCAACAAAGCAAACATTGCCACAGTAATCAGCATGTTCGGTACCCTATGTGCGATATGTTCTTGAGGCTCCTCTGACTCAGGTTTGATCAATAGGTAGACTCCTGGATATTGCCTGTAGTCTTCGAACCATGGTAGATGGAGGTGTGAAACTTGTGCCAAGTTGTAAAGCAACATCTGTTGTATATGCACATATATTTAAATCAACATCTTGCTATGTGGATCTTTGGAGTGACAGGCTTGAACTTTTTGTTTCGAAAGGTATACCATGATCGACTTGCTGGATAAGACTAATTTTATCATAGGATTGTGGCCCTCTTTCATCATCTGAAAAACACAACTCTGTAGCTCATTCCATTCGTTAGTTATTCAAAAAATATCCAAATTCATTCTGTTTGAAATGGATAGTAGGTGGCCAACATCATAAGCTAGAAGCGAGATGAGGAATTTGCATTCTCACCACTTTCATTAGAATGATATCAAGTTGGCTTTATCCAACGTGATTATATGTTTGCTGTTTAGGGAGCAAGTGGTGTTGTTATGGGCACGAGATTTTTAGCTACACCTGAAGTATATTATACCGACGCAGCTAAATACAGGATCATTGCAGCACAGTATGCATAAATAGCTAAATATACTAGTTTTCGGGTTATGAATTGTAATCTTCCGCATGTCTGTTCAAATTCTGCTTTTAGCGCTAACGATACTATCCGTACTGATTTGTTCGACAAGCTGGATAAGCCAAATATCTGGAAAAACACACCCTACAGCGGTAACTGATTGAATGTACCGTTCATTTTATTATTTGTTATCCCATTCTATAATTTACAGCAGCCGCATTAAGAATTCCAGCTGTTGAGCAGTATCTTGGGAAAGAGCAATTACTGAACAATAAAACTGTGTTCAAGCAAGCACACAAGAAATTCGAATCTGGTAAGGTGCCGGCAATTCCGAAAATCGAGCAAAATTTTGTTGTTCATTTCCTTTGCTATAGTTGAATAGATCTTATAGAGTTGCATAGGGAAAGGCCAAGTTTAGATTTTTAAAACTCAGTTTTCGGAGAAGAAAATTAAAAATACTGCACTTTTAAAATAACGCAAAAATGAGCAAAAACTTCAAGTTTAAGGTCTTTTTTAAAATTCTAAAAGCCCATGCTCCATATTCAGCATACAAAACTCGCTGTAAAACGCTAACTTTAGCATTTTTGTAAGCTAAAATGTCGGAGGAACTCGTAAAACTCGAGAAGAACTGCAGGAATGCCCTAAACCCATCAAGTCTCCATAGATATAAATACGAACAATTTCTTTTGTTTCATTATAACTGTAAGGGTCGAGAAAGAAATATTACAAAGCGGGGTTGGAAAGTTTAGTTTCGTTGCTCGAAAAATTCATTTTTTCAAAAATAATAGTGCAAATCATGAAAATGAGCTGTTATGTCACAATGGCTACAATTTATTTGCTAAATAAAATTATTAAAACGCTAAGTTGGCTCTTGCCAAGTAAAATTTGTGTCTGCTCAGTAGATAAATTGATTGCTAAGTGGAAGTATTGAACGGTCACTTAATTTATACTTTCTCAGTAATAAAAATATTTGCTAAATTTGATAATTAATATCCAAGTAAAAATCTTTTTGTAAAGTTAATAAATTGAAATCATAGTTATAAAACAAAATCGCTAAATAAAAGTTATTACTACTAAGTAATTTCTAATAAAGACCAAGTACGATTATCTAAGATAGGATGAACTTTTTTACGGTGGTGTGGCGTATACATTTTCTCTCTTTCTTTCCTTCTGTCAGTATTGAAGTAGTACCGTAACATATGTATATTAGGTTGAAGTTTTGCAAACTACCTCCATCAGCAAAAGTACACCATTGACTGAAAAAAGAAAAAGAAGGCGACTACGAAAAGCAAAACGGCTTTATTAATACAATAACTGTACAGTTAACTTTTTACTTCAATATTTGTCTCTTTACTTAACAAAAATTGTTTATTTACCTATCGATTTCTAATATTTCGCTTAGAAAATCAAACTTATTTACTGAGAGCTTAAATAAAAAGCCTAGCAAAAATGTTTCTTTTACTTAGAATTATTTTCAATAAATTACTTAGCAAACATTGAACTTTTTACTTAGTATTTATTAAAAATAAGTTAGCATTTAAATGCGAGTCTTTCATCATTTCCAGCGTCAAATTTCCATTTTTTCGCACAATGAATGTCATATTCTGAATCAGCGTCGAAAACTGAGTTCAAGAATGTTTTTCTCAGAAGTTTTCAACAACTTGATTATTTTAACAAAACCTCGTCATTGGAAAATCTGAAGAGTTATTGCAAAATTTTGAAAAACCATCACTGAACTCAGTTTCTAATGCTGATTTCGAATATGATATTGTCTGTGCGAAAAATTCATTTTCGAGCAACAACATAACCAAAACCGCTTTGTAATATCTTTTCCATGAGTATGAATAAAGACATAAAACAAAATATTTTTCCATAGGCCTACTAGATAGAAGGAAATGAAAGAAATTATTCGTATTTATAGCCATGAGGACTTGGTCTGTCTGCAAAATGCATCGAGTCATTCCAGTCGAACAACAAACTTCTGCTCGAAACCCCAAAATATGAATTTTACACTAAATATCTTCTACTCTTCCATACATTTTAGAAATTACAGTCAACGACGGTAGCCCAATCTATGGTGGCAAAGCGGTTGACTTTGTAACGACAGTCGAACATGGGGGCGATATAGTGCGTAAAATTGGAGAAGCAGCTAAAAAACTAATGAATGCATAAGCCGTAAGGCCATCTTTAATCACTGATTGATGGTTTCATCAACAAATGTAATCTTCTGAACTTCAATCAATGTATTACTTTTATCAGCTACTTTTAGAGCCGATAGATTTCTATTTATTCGTTTTTGTTTTTCTAAGAATAATCTTCTTTTGCGAGCTTTTCACATTCAAGATTGATCATGCACACAAGAAAGTTACTGTTTTTTGGATTTGTAAAGCTAACTGTGATGAAGACCATTAATGGTTCTGGTACTATTTTCTTTCCGTTTAGAAATAAAACCAAACACTCTCCGAAGCGTTTATTATGTTTATTAACTTAATGGGCCATAGAGTCGGATGGTTGTAACATGTTTCTTCCTCTCTGAATATGTAAAACGTTTTACAGTAAAGCTGACTCAAACGCGCTTTTATTTCCTCCACTAGATGCACTTCTACTAGTCGTTATTTTACGGCAGCCCTTTACAGTACTTATAGTTCCACGTCAAAATGACCAAGGCATCAACCTCATCATTACCGTTACGTATTAGATCCAGAGAGCTATAAATACATAGTTATTTTATTCTTCATCGGCATCGGATGACGCGCATGTTCTCTTAGTATCGAACATTGTAACTTATAGGTGGATTCGTAGAATCGCACGAATCATAAACTTCATTAACATATTATTATGTCTGTAAAATCGGTAGTAAAAAACAAGGGTCATTATAACTTACGTAGGCAAAATATAGGTGCACAATCAACAAAGCTTAATGCAGATGACATGAAAGACGCTATATTAAATAGTTTAAACACTGATGAGGCATTACGTAAATCAATTCATAATATGATAATATCACATCGTAATGATGATCAGAATGGTAATGATGTTCGACAAAAACAAAACTTTAATGATGATGATGGAAGTAATCTTGCTATGGTTGCTGATAAAGTAGCTAATCTATTATTAAAACCCGTAGAGTAGCTTAGAGTAATCGGAACAACCTCTCTAATTTTCACAGTATTTGAGCACGGGTGGCAGTCTTTAAACTCGTTACGAGATGAAAAATACTAATGTGTTCTATTACAGTCGGAAGCTGTTTTGAACTCGTTACGAGTCCAAATGAGTGCTGATCAATTTCCAGAGAGCTCCCATCAAGTGTCCCGAATTACCCCATATGGGGGGAGGGCGGGTAATTCGGGGGACAGTATGGGGGACAGTCCAGCAAAAATGGCTGGAAGAAAGTAAAACAACTTTTTTCCAACGGAAAAGTTTTACCTTTCTAATGAAAAGTTATACCAACTTGTAGAGAATTTTGAGCTCTATCTACCATCTAAATTGCTAGTCCTTTGGGCATATCCTTGATGAATTAATTAGAAATTACGAAAATGAACGAACATAGTCGTTTTTTTCAGTTTTCTTGTTTGAAGTAATTATGGACATTCAACTATTTTGCCTGGCGTAATTCGGGACAGTACGTGCAAATCGCACGGCATGGACAGAAAACAACTTCTGCTGTCTTTTACAAACCGATTTTGATACCATGCTAAACGGTACAATTGTTCAGAACCATGAGCTCTATCATGTATGTAAAAACCGGATAAGAAAAGCATATTTTCATCGTTTCCAAAAAAAACAGTTTTCCACATATAATCTGTTACGATAACGTAAACGATGAAAATACGTCAGGATTACTACAGTTTACGACGGTTGTACACTTTGTTCCGTTCTGAATATTTTTAAAAAAGTTGACTTGTGGTAAAAACCAATCGTATACGACTAACGTAACTGCCTCGTAGTTTATCGTCTACATATTGTCGCATCTATCAACGTTTACGACTGACGTATTTCGTGGTAATTTGACCTATACTGTAGTAAACGGTCGTGAGTCTTCGCCCTGGGTATTATCTATCTTCCCTATCTTGAATATCGTGACTGTTTAGACTATTTTGACTATTTCAACTATTCTCACTATATTGACGATCTAGACTATCTTGACCATTTTGATCATTCTGAATATTTTCACTATTAAGACTATTTTGACTATTCTAACTGTCTTGGCTGTTTCACAATCTTGACTATTTTGGCTATTATGACTGTTTTGACTAACTTGACTATC